AAATTTCAGCCTGATCACAAGGAGGAATTTTTTTTTTTTTTTTTTAGTAACCAGAGGTGGACAGAGCTGGAAGCCCATCCTTGAATTGAACAGATTTGCTAGTAGTGTACCCATCTCTCTATGTTCTGCCTGGGCTTTATGCAATTATTGAAATTATGGGTTGGAGACAGCATCCTTCAGGAAGCTCTGGGATTCCTGGGTAGGAACTCTTGCTTTGTGAAATAAGCGTCCTTGTTGGGTAGGTGTGCTATTCAGTGGGCCTCATATTTATCTCAGAGCAGAAAATGGTCGTCTGTAAGTGGCAACAGTCCTTTTCTGGCATTTCAGCTAGCCCTCTATATCTGTAGATTTTACACTATGGGCTCAAGCTACCATGGCCTAAAAATATCTGATGAAAAAGTTATGCTTGTACAGAATATGAGCAGGATTTTCTTTATTATTATTCTCTAAACAGTAAGAAAAACTATTTACATTGTATTCAGCATTAAAAGTAACCTAATTAAGATTAGTACTATCATTTACATTGTATTAGATATTGAAAATAATATAGAGATTATTTTCAGTACATAGAAGTATATTTATAGAACATATGTGAACTCTATGTCATTTTATATAAATCATGAATATCAAACACGTATGTGGCCTGGAGCCCTTCTGTGTATCAAGAAACCTTTGATTTTTTTCCTTCCAGGTGGCAGCTACCATGTTTTAGCTAAGAAAAGACCAGCTTCAAAGTGACTTCTATGACATGAAAAGGACCATGGGGAGAAATGGAGATAGATGCCCCCTCCAGGAAGTGTTCTGGGAAAGGCTAAAGAGGCTATTGGGTATAATTGCGGGCAGTAAGATGAGGACTCTTATTTCATGTGAATGGTGTTTTTGTCTGCATTCGTGTCTGTGCACTATTTGTACGCCTGGTGCCCACAAAGGCAGGAAGAGGGCATCAGATTCCCTGGAAATGGAGTTACAAACAGTTGTAAGTAACCCATAAAAGTGCTGGTGACTGAAACGCAGGCCTCTGAAAATGCAGCCTGTGGTGTTAACCACTGAGCCATCTCTTCAGCACCTATCTGAGGCTAGCTGTGCTGTGTAAGGAACTCAGAACAGGAAAGTGTCCTGTCTTTTTGAGGCGGGGAAGTACCCACAGCAAAATGGAATGTGAGAACCACGGGGTGGAGATGGGTTTGTTTGTTTTTTGTGTGGAGTGGTGGTGGCTTGAGAAGGCATAAAGTTGTATCCTTTCTATCCTCTGTCTTCTCACCTTCTTGCTCTGTTTTTGTTTGTTCTGAGACAGGGCCTCTTGTAGTCCAAGCTGGCTTCAAACTTGCTATACAGCCAAAGATGACCCTGAACTTCTGATCTCCATACCTCCACCTCCCCTGTGCTAGGATTACAGATTGTACCACCAGGCCCAGTTTATATGGTGCTGGGGATCAAACCCAGGACTTTGTGCTTGGTAGATGTGTTAGTCACTGTTCTAATGCTGTTAAGAGACACCATAGCCAAGGCAACTCTTATTAGAGAAAGCATTTATTTGGAGGCTTGCTTACAGTTTCAGAGACTTAGTCCATTGTCATCATGACAGGAAGTATGTTGGCACATGTGGCACTGGAGAAGTAGCCGAGAGCTCTATATCCTTATCCACAGGCAGGCAGAGGGAGAGAGAAACACTGAACTGTGTGTGGGCCTTTGAAAACTCCAAGCCCACACCCAGTGACACACTTCCCCCAACAAGGCCATACCTCCTAATCCTTTCCAACAGTGCTATTCCCCGGTGACTATGCATTCAAATATATGAGCCTATAAGAGCCATTCTTATTCTAACCATCACATAGGCAAGGACTTTACTAATTAAGCTACATCTCAGGTCCCTCTTCTCTTTTTGTAAATAGTGGCTTTGTGAGCACCTCAATCAACTGATCAGTCAGTAACTAGTAAATTTTGTAAAATAAAGTGGCAATCCAAAGTGAACACTTTGAAATACTAATTGGGAGCTGTAGACATGGTTCATCAGTTAAGAGTGCTTGCTGCTCTTCCAGAGGACCCAAGTTTGGGTCCCAGCACCCACATGAGGTGGCTCTCAAACATCTGTAACTCCATCTCTAAGAGGCCCAACACCTTCCGATTTTTGTGGGCACCTGTGTACACAACAGTGTACACTCACATAGACATATTATACCTAATAATAAAAAATTAAATCTGAATTAATTCAATTGGCAAAGGTAAAACTTTTGAGTGTAGGGGTTGGTTTTGTTTTGTTGACACAAGATCACATTGTGCAGTCTTGGTTGGCCTCAAAAACATTAGGTAGTCCAGGCTAGCCTCAAATGCCTCGGCCTTTTTAGTGTTGGGATTTGTATTAGACGGGATTCTCTAGAGAAACAAAAACAATAAAGTGTATATGTGTATTTGTAATAAATAGTGATTTATTAGATTGGCTTACACAATAGAGTCTTCGTGACAGAGAGGCTGAGAACCTAGTAGCTGATCAGCCCAGGAAGCAAGACGCCTCCTCAGCAGTCCTAATCTAATGCTTAAGACCTGGAAGATTCCTAAAGGGCTACCAGTATAGTCCATGTTGGAAGCTGGAGTGGGATGGCAGTGGAGGACAGCTACAATACCTGCATTCACTCAGGATGAAATGAAGATTGGCAAGTGACACTGCTTTTTCCTCTTCATGTCTGACTTGAATTAAGATGCCAACTACCCAACATTGGTGTTTCCCCCTTCAATCCTCTCGGGAAACACACTCACAGACATGCCAGCAAGTGTGCTTCTTAGTGAAGGAGACCCTCACACATCGGGGCTTCCTCCCAGACCCCAGATTAGGCACAAATCACACCCAAACACCTGTTTTCACCGAGAGATCTTTTAGTAAAGGGGAAAGAAAAGTTAAAGTGGCTGCTTTCCGACTCAGACAGAAACAGCAGCAAATGACCTTGCAGGTGTAATTTTTAAGAGGAAAAGCAGGGGAGGTCTGTGTTAGAATGAGCCAGGATGTAGTGGTAAAGGAAATAGGGAATAGAGAAGAGGGACAAGGAAGGGGACAAGGGAAAGGGGGACGGGGAGAAAGGACTGGCTCTGGATAGAGAGACAGACTTCACACATAGGGAAATAGTGGTTTATAAAGATAAAGGAGGAAACCCTACGTTAGGATGAGGTGCTTAATTTTAATTAGGCATGTTAATTAGGTGATCCAAAGCTGGGCTTTGGTAGTCAGCGTCTGGAGGAGGACATCCTCAAATGAGGGGATAAACCTTGGAGGCTAGCTTTAGGACTGTAATCTAACAGTTTTTAGCAAGGCAGAGGGGCTGGGGGGAGAAGGCCGAGCACATGCTCAAGTGGGCTAGAGTCCCTTCACTTAGGTGATTTCAGAGCCCACCAAACTGACAAGATTAGCAACCACAGGATTACAGGCAAGTCATCAATCAGACTGTCTAAAATCTTAGCTCAAAAGCTGTCATCTCACAGGGATGACACAGGCAGTCAGGTGAGATATGAGTTGTGACAGAAGAGGGCAAAAGTAGAATTTGATACGTTGTTGTACAACTTCAGCTGGCAAAACAGTACTGAAAGGCTGTCGGGGCACAGGCGTTCAAAGGGACTCTAAGGGAGTTCTTCTGTGTATACAGTCAGACAATGTTGCAATGTCATGGTGCTCTGAAACAATTGCAGCTAGGGTTTATCTTGGTAGCAACAGTGTGGCCTTGAGTCAAAGATAGTCTTGTTCTGAGTCAGAAATGGCTCAGCAAGATCACCCGTCCTAGCCCTGGGTGGTGGTGGAGGATGCGTTTAATACCAGAACTCAGGAGGCAGAGGCAGACAGATCTTGAGGCCAACTTGGTCTACACAGTGAGTTCCAGGACAGCCAGGACTACACAGGGGAACCCTGTCTCAAAAGACCCTGAGTCAATTACCCATTCTAAACTGGCAAACATATTTTGTAACTGGGGCTTATTATAATCAACTCTTTTTGAAGGGATAATTAATGGCCCTGCAGGGAGGCAGCAGTCGCCTTGCTCTAAGACCAGCCTGCTCTGAGTCAAACAGGCCGCCCTGTTCTGAAGCTGGAGACAGCCATTTCTCTTAGAACAGTGTCCACAAACACTTTTGTAATTTTCTTCTACCGCTTTTTCTTCCCCATCGGCTCCCGGGAACTGAATAGAAACACCAGCACACCATGCACCTTAACAAAGCAGAGGGCACAGAGGGTAAGAGGCGCTTGCACTTCAAATTGTATGAAGCCGCAGCATAGATGCCAAACTACAGTTACTCTAAGTAACTTAGTGCCTACTGATGAGAAGCCCCAGAGGAGAGGTCCAGAGGTCCACTGCTCCCTAGGGTGTAAGGGAAGGTCAAAGACAGGCAGGTCCCCACCACCTGCTCTCTGCCAGCAACCTCCCAGGCACACGACGCACACACGAGTAGACACACTGAACTGGCATGGACAGAAACCCATGCAGACCTGGAGGCACCCATGCGCAGACACCGTTAGAGGTGCATGTGTCGACGTGTCCACTTGGTGCTGGAACTCACAACTGCCTGTAACTTTTAGTTCCATGTGATGCTTCACGGACATGTGCACATGCATCACACTAGCGTTGGAAGCTCTGTGGAGCTGCGGGACAAATCCTTGTTACCAGGCTGGGACTCAAACACTTCCCACACCAATCTGGAGGGCTCCTGTTGTGCTCTACATCACTGCTGCAAGTGACATTGGCCACGCCCCTCCTCGCCATGCCTCTCTTCCATTGGCTGTGGGAGCAGACCTCCCGCCTCCTGTTCCTTCTGGCACGCCCATCACCGCCTCCGGATCTCCATTGGCTGAGGCAACAAGTCCTCCCAAGAGAGGCGGTGGGCGAGGTGCGGAGGCGTTAAGGACTAGATGGACGAGCTTGCTAGCCAATGAGCATGTGTATCCACCTCAGCAACTGCGACTCACCAATGACGAATAGGGTGGGCGGGGCGCTGCGGCTGTCAAGCGCCCCTGGCCTGGGGAGCGATCGCGTTTCCCCGGGGCGCTCAGGGACCCTGCAGCCGCCAGCGCGCAGCTTGGGGCCGGCATGGGAGGGGTGGCCGGGCCGGCATGATGAGCGCCCTGGGCAGCCCTGTGCGGGCCTACGATTTTCTACTTAAGTTCCTGCTGGTGGGCGACAGCGACGTGGGCAAGGGCGAGATCCTGGCCAGCTTGCAGGACGGAGCAGCCGAGTCTCCTTATGGACACCCGGCGGGTGAGCGCGGCGGCAGGAGCGCGGCCGCAGCACCCGGAGGCGCAGCGCTGGTGTCTCGGTGCGAGCGGCCGCTCCAGAGTGGCTCTAGCCCACGGAGAGGCTGGGCAGGGCTAGGTCCCGCATGCTGGGGTAGACTGTGCGCTGTGGGCAGAATCCGCAAAGCGGCTCAGGGTGGGCGTCAAGGGAGACCGCAGGTGAGATCGACGTGTTTGGGAGAAGTGAGTGGGATTGCAGGAGGCGTGGACGGAGAAGCAGCGGACTAGAGAACAGGAGAGACCACAGACTCCGGGGCCGTGACCTTTTTGGTGCGTGGGACTGCACGCAGAGAGTAACAAGACTAGACTCGAGTCTTGGGTTCCAAGCACCTTGCACTGGGTCTCCCTGTCCTAGCGGACAGGACTTCTAGGAGGAGGAACCTTAGTGACCCTGTAGAGTTGGCTAGGGTGTAGGAAGGAGCCCAACTAAGAGGCTCAGGAGACTGGGCACAGATGAGACCAGAGAGCCTCAGGCTTGAGGGCAGTGAGCAGTGTGTCCTAGAAGCTTGAGGTCTGACACCCTGCACCCCAGAGGAAGGAAACCTTCTTTGGTACAGAAACCTGGGCGGGACGTACAAGAATAGTCATGTAGTCATACTGTGGCTGTGCAAAGACTAATGCGACCCACTGCCTTTTGGTCGCATTAGTGGGACTTCAACTTACATTTCCAATACAGACTCTGTCCTGAGGTCTGCCACTCTGTCCGCTGGCTTGCGGGCTGCTTCCTGCATCTCCAGACCCCTGGCAATGCCACGCGGCTAGAAAGGCTCTAAAACTGTGTGGTCCAGGGTGAGTAGCCGGACGGTACAGATTTAGACCTTTAGGACAAAGTTCTGTTGGACAGCACTACCCCAAGAGCAGGGATGGGTCCACAGTCCTGTCTTCAGGTCTGGGTGCTCAGCACTGGCCTCAGCAGAAGAAAAGAGTAAAACATTTAGCAAGTCCAAGAAGGGATGTGAGTCTCACAGTGGATGACTGGTGTGGGCAGTGAGAAAGATGTTGATGACATGTGAGCAGCCTGGGTGGCTTAAGCAAGACCCACTGAGCTTCTGTTGCTTCGGGTTTTGTTTTTTTTATTGTCAACATGGTCTGAAAAATTTAAGAGAACAGATGCCACAGTTGTAGTCTTTGTGACCTTTTGATTTACTACATATTTCTTCTAGGGCTAAGAAAAGAGGGTAGGAAAAACAGGCCAGTTATGGTGGCTCACACCTGTAATCCCAGCATTCAAGAAGCAGGTGGGGAGGGGGGATGTCATGAATTTGAGGCCAAGGTGGCCTACAATATGAGATCCTGTGTGTGAGGGGGCATGAAAAACAGAATGGGAGGGAGAAAAGGAGGGAAGGTGAGAAAAAAGGAAGAGAAGCAAGTGGGGAAGCAATAAACGTTAAGAGTCTGGGGCCATTGTTTTGTTACAGCTGTGAGAATCTCAGTGCTTTGACAGTGGAAGGGGAACTCTTGCAGCATCACACTCCAGTCTTCCCACCCATGTCCTGGTTTTGTAGCCCACTTTGCAATGCTCATACCGCAGAGATTCACAACGCTGGATTCTGTATTGTAGCTATAACATCAGAGAGTGCTTGGTGTTCATGCAGTATTCACATGGACTCAGCACTGGCTATCTCTTTTAAGCGTAGCTATTCCCAAGTTCTTTATGGTGCTGCTTAGCCTCTTAACCAGGTGCTGTTCTTTACCGGCTGTTCTTAGCCTCTTTACCGGCTATCCAGAAAACTAAGAGTTTCTTCAGAGGCTTGCCCTGAGAACACCATTGTCTGTCTTTGGGCCATGCCTTGGCTGTACACAGCATTCTTAGACTGTACTGCTCTTTTCTGCCAACACCTGGTAACTTGTTCACTGTCTTTCTAGTATTTGATGTTGTCATGGTGAAAGCCACACGTCAACTGATTTCCTAGATGGGTAATTTGCCTTTTCCTCGGGAATTTTTGAGGACTGTTTTTCTTTGCCTTACAGTTCCTTGCTTAGTCAGGCCGTGACTCAGAAAGTTTTGATATATTGTATATTCCAAGTTCCTAGATTTTAAAAAAGTATTTTTCTTAATTTTAGAGGAATCTGCTTTGTAGCCATAAAAATATCTTCTATTGCCTTGTATTAGTTTCCTGTATGCTGTTATGAAAAACGACCACAAGCTGGCTTAAAACAACATAAGTTTATTCACTCACGGTTTTGGGGTCTGGTAATCTACACAGTTTGGCTGAGCTAAAGGTAAGGCATAATAAGCAGGACATTGTTTCTACATGGAGCTCTAGGAGAATCTGCATTCTTGTCTTTCTCAGCTTCTAGAACCTTCCTGCACCTCGGGACTCTGAGCCCCTTTCTTGGTCTTCAGAGCCATCGGTAGCCAGCTGAGTTTTCCTGTTTCCCTTCTTCACTCTGACATGAATTCTGCTTCCTTCTCCCACTGCAGAGGACACTGCGGTAGCTTTTTGTATACCTAGACTACCCAGGACAGTATCTCTATCTTAATACTTTCCATTACCAACTGTAACTCCACTTGCAACGTTAAATGCTCCTTGCCACGTACACTAACATGTTCACAGATTATGAAGCTTGAACATGCACATTGGTGAGAGAGAGGTCTGTTGTTCTGCCCTCACTTTTATGCAGGCATCTTTGTGTGTTTTCCAAATGTATTCACCTCTTTCCACTTGTTTTAGAGTTGGTGTTTTGTTTTGTTTTTGTCTCTTTCGTCTGGATTTCTGTGACTATCTTTCTTTATTGAATGTTTTGATTTTAGTAAATTGTTTACAGCTGTTTCTAATTTAATTGTTAATTCAGGAATGATGTCACTTCAACATTCTCTTTATTTTTGCTATTTCCCCTTTTCAATTCAAACAGTTTTGACATCTCATTGAAGATGTCTTTGAGGAACTGTAGAAATGGTTCAGTTAGGAGCACTCACTACTCTTGCAGAGGACCTGGGTTCTATTTCCAGCACCCACTTGGTGCTGGAACTCACAACTGCCTGTAACTTTAGTTCCCACAGATCTGATGCCTTCTGGCCTCTGAAGGGACCAGGCATGCACATGCTACACATACATGCAGGCAGGCAAATCATTCATACACAGAAAGTAAAAATAAATGAATCTTAAAAAGGTAAAAAAAGTTGCAAAACATCTATCTGAATTCCTAGTTTACCATCTTCTTGCTGTGTTGCCTAAACGGACTTTTGTTCCTTGGATCCTTTGTCATGTTTTCATTACTCTTAGCTTTTTGGAGACTAATACACATATAGATTGGCACACATTCTGTCATGACATAGCTCAGTGAACTTCCACAAACCTAACATGCCATGCCACCAGCATCCAGATCAAGACACGATACTGCCAGCCTCCTGAAGCCCCTTGTTCCCTCCGCCAGTTGAAGCAGGCCCTCAGCATGCCCCTGGGTCCTGCGTTGTGACAGGGAAGTTCACGCTTGCCTGAATTTGCACTGTGGTGTGTGCACAGTGCACACAGTGTCTGCCCTCTGTGTGCGTCTCTTGCTCCTTTATGCATATGAGGCTCTCGTTCGCAGATCCTTTATGTGGCCACACTGTGGCTTGCTGATCATCCTGCTGGCTATGGGAATTTGTGTGGTTTCCAGTTGCTGTTTGTAACGGTTTTCTTTGGTGTGCACATGTGTAGTACATGTCAGTTTTCATGTCAGTTAGCAATGTTGAGATTGAGACACGTGGGTGGGGCTGAGTGTGTAGCTTAGCACGTGCTTACCATGTGTGTGGCCATGGGCTCGGTTCCCAAACCACACACACACAATAACAGACATAAATACTTCACCTAAGCTTAACTTCGGGACATATATTTCTACGAGTAAATTACAAGAGCTGTGGTGGCTTATACCCTCACCCACACTTATTACTTCCCTTTTACATTTTAGCTATATTCTTTTGTTTATTTTATTTTAGATTTTTAAATCCTTATGAATATTTTGCCTGCATGTGTGTAGGTACTCCACATACATGCCTGGTGCCACGAATATCAGAGAAAGAGGGTGGATTCCCCGGGACTGGAATTAGGAAGGTTGTGAGCTACGCGTGTGTGCTGGGATCCAAACCCAGTTTCCTAGAAACAGCATCATGTGCTCCTAACTGCTGATTGTTTATTGTAGTGCAAGGGCTGGGGATGCTGCCCTAACACGCAGGAAGGCCTAGATTTGCTCCTCAAAAACCACACTGAAAAAAACAGATGTAATGGCGTGTAGTGGTGACCTCAGCATTTGAGAGGTCAGGTTGAAGCTGGGAAATTAGAAGTTCAAAATCATCCTTGGATACATAGAAAGCTCAAGGCCAGCCTGGTCTACATGAAAAACACACTACACACACACACACCACACACAGACACACACACCACACACCACACACACACACACACCAGACACACACACAGACACACCACACACACCACACACACTACACCCACACTACACACCACACACCACACCCCACACACCACACACCACACACCAGACACACCACACACCACACACCACCCACCAGACCCACCACACACCACACACCACACCCCACACACCACACACCACACACCAGACACACCACACACCACACACCACCCACCAGACCCACCACACACCACACACCACACCCCACACACCACACACCACACACCAGACACACCACACACCACACACCACCCACCAGACCCACCACACACCACACACCACACCCCACACACCACACACCACACACCAGACACACCACACACCACACACCACCCACCAGACCCACCACACACCACACACCACACCCCACACACCACACACCACACACCAGACACACCACACACCACACACCACCCACCAGACCCACCACACACCACACACCACACCCCACACACCACACACCACACACCAGACACACCACACACCACACACCACCCACCAGACCCACCACACACCACACACCACACCCCACACACCACACACCACACA